ATATACGTAATGTGATTTTCTATTACAATAATAAATGCTTTTTTGTAAATTATTATGGCATGCTATGTATTTTAAAAATTGTAAATAATGTATTTTTTTCTTGATGTTCATTCTCCTTTTACTTGCAGAAAACTGCATTAAACGATTCTGTAAAATCTCGCCAAATTATTTTAATCGTGCATTTTAATGACTAAGTATGGTCGTATAAATTCTTTAGAACTACTAGAATTTATATAGGTACACCAATAGTTTTTATTTTCAATATTTTTTGTTAGGTTTAGAAGTTGATCAATTTTCAATGATGTATATGGTGAATATTGTGATTTATTTAAAAACGAACAAACAATATTTCATATTTAGAAATAGCCTCTTTATAGTAAAGTTTTGTCCAATTAATAATAAAGACTGTTCCTCATTTATTTACTTACTTTAGAAGTATGTCTTTATAGCAATATGTAATATATAGTGATCACTAATCTATTGAGGCACCTATATCATATTCATATTTGAAACTGGAATTCAATAAACTATAGTTACACAATGTTTCATCAGTGGCTTTCATGTGATAGGTGTCCATCATACGGCCACTAGCTACCTGCATGTAAGAATGTACTTCTTGGTGGATGTTAAATCGTTCTCGGAATTCACTGACGTAATCTTACAACCAAACATTAAATCGCATTTTAGTCACAATTCCTGACGAAGCAGTACTTATTCTGCCATCTGTCTAGTAGTTTCATGGATCTATATTTCATAAGAAACAATAGCAAATATCAATTCCAATCTCTTTGATGTTTGGAGATTTTTTTTTTAATGTTTTCGTGGAAGAGGGGAAATCTTCGGAAGACACCCAGCCGTCCGTTTGGAGACCATACTGAACAAGTATTTGCTATAGACCTTATTCATTCGCTCTACCGTTCCGTCTCACGGATGCAGGGGTGTAGTTCGGGTTTTGTGAATTCAATACATTACAAATGTCGTAAAATATGGCGGATTCGAAGTTTTGACCGTGATCAGTATAGCTATAAATCGGCTAATTAGGTATTTGACGAGCTGTTCTGTCACTGTGATAGCTACGTACGCTTCCACTCATTTCGTGAAGTCATCCATTGAAACTACAATGTACTTACTTCCATCATCAGTTTCTCGAAAAATTTTGCGACATCTATGGCAATTCTTTCAAAAGGGCTGCCGACATCATATTAGCGCTCGGGGGTACGCTGTCGCTTTTTAAATCGTGTACTTCCTATACCAGCCTTCAATGTCCTTCCAATTGACAATAATATCGTGCACATGCCCTTCCAAGGGTCTTGTCAAATCCAAAATGCCCTCCAGAAGAACTATCATGATGGTACCACAGGTCTGCTTTTTTCAAACTTCGCGGTACAGTCACCTTCAGGAGGTCATCATCAACAATAGTACCTCACCCACAGCGTACTTCGGTAGATTTGACAGAGCTACTTCTTAGCAAGTCATCTTCCTTCGGTTTTTCGTTATCAGGACCGAGTTAGAATCTTGTTGCTCTGCTCATCCGTGACAGTTCTCCTTTTAACTTCCTTGTGCTCATCGAAGCGCTTGTAATTTTCCGTGCATGGTTTTCAGTATACGTTGACATTCCTGTGGCTATTGCCAGCCCGATGTTCTACATAAAAATTGTATTCTTGGAGCTATTCTATTCAAAGCAACTTGACCTTTAAGGGACTCTTGAAAATTAACAACCAGTTTAGGGCGATGTGGTTAGTTCAGTTAAGATTTTTTTTCTTTTATGTTAGAAATTTTATCTTTTTTACGCTAGATACCTACATCAACCGGCTGCTAAACACATATTTAAATGTATCGAAAATAGTTCAATATATCAAAATTGTCGAAATTAAAAAATTTCAAAAATAAAAAACAGTAACATGAAGTTTTGCTTATAAATACCCCTTGCTATGCTCTATAACATATATTTCTTTCAAAACTTTTGCCAGGATAGAACACTGTTAAAAAATAATTACGACCTATATTTAAACATTACAGATATAGATATTAAGATAAGCAGGGAAGGGGGAAATGATGGCCTAACCGCTTGGTTATGATGGTATAATTTACATAAAATACTCCATCTTCTGGAAAAAAACAGAAGCAAAAAAAAAATGAGCTATCCTGTACGTGAACAAAAAAAATGAACCCTAATCGAAATGGAAAACGACTCCACCAAAATTTCTATCACTATTTTTCCCGAAATATGGAGTATTTTAAGTAAATTATACCATCAAATTCAAACAGATGGGCCTATATTTCTTTCTATTTTTTCCCTCCCATCCTTATCACGAAAAGGGTCCACATTTATTTAAGAAAACCATTCTGACATCGTAGGTACGTTTGAACTGGCGCTGGATAAAGAAGGTGGAAATCTGCGAATTTCCAAATAGCTCAAATTTTCAACTTCTGCGACGTCTCTATCCACTCAGGAACCAACAAACTCTTGAAAAAGACTTCCGACCCTTAGAACAACGTTTCGATCACCTGAAGAGTCCTTCACCTTTGACTGGACAATGTCTGACGGGACGTTCCACAAAAGGATCGGAAGTATTGAGAGGATTTTGAAACGTGAATGCAATTGCTGTACTTCCTCTTTATATTGTTCTCCCCTTTTCCATTTCGGCGAAGCTTTCCAATGATGCACGGTTTATTGGGGTAAATCACGATTGGTAAAAACTTCCAGAAACATCGACGGAACTCTTTGATAACGTCGGATTTGATCTTCTTTCTTTAAGAACTTTCCAACGATATTTGACTTGTTAGGGTTTCTCACAGTTAATGGAAACTTCCAGAAAGTTTGATGTAATTTTACAATGACGTCAGATTCTTTCTTCCTTCTTCGATAGCTTTCCAACGATGTATCACTCTATCATTTGTTAAGATTGCACGCAGCCAATACAATTTTCCAGAATGTTCGCTGAAATCCTTCAATGACGTCAGGTTCTTTCTTCACTCTTCGAGAGCTTCCTAACTACAGGGTTTGTCTGGAAAGTAATAGGACTGGTTTCCTTCCGCCGCCACTGTACTTCGGAACGTGCGCGCACCGACTGGATTCGGTAGAGGGCATTCCTAGCTAACGAATGCGCGGCTGGTGAGTTGTCTCCGAGCACCTGGAGAGTCAGAAAAGAATTTTTCGCGCGACGTGTTTCTGTGAGTGGTGCAAGCCGAAAATGCAGCGTTCGTTAGAGCAGAGGTACGCGATTAAATTCTGTGTGAAACTCGGTAAATATGCGACAGAGACGTTTGATATGATCAAGCAGGCTTACCCAGATGTTGCTTTAGCAAGAAGTGGTGTGTTTCGGTGACACCAGGCTTTTTCAGAGGGCCGGGAAGAGGTCGCCGATGAAGACCGTGCTGAAAGATGCTCATTGTCTTTTTTGACATGAAAGGCATCGTCCACCATGAATTTGTTCCTCCTGGACAAACCGTCAACGCCAAGTTTTACGTGGAAGTGCTCAAGAGACTCAAACGAAGGGGCAATCGGGTCCGACAAAACATCGCAGCCCACTGGAAGTTGCACCACGACAACGTCCCGGCTCACACCGCCTTTCTTGTGGACAGCTACCTGACCAAGGCCGGCATCCCAACGCTTCCGCAGCCGCCCTACAGCCCAGATGTGGCCCCTCGGACTTTCTTTTGTTTGCTCGCCTGAAGAGGCCGATGAAAGGCAAGCATTTTGAGACGACAGAGGGGATCCAAGCAGCTTGCACCGCGGCTCTTAAGGCTATTTCGGAGAATGCTTTCCGTGACGCCTTCAATGCTTGGAAATCGCGCTGGCAGCGCTGAATCGACTCAGAAGGAGCCTATTTTGAAAGTTTTTAAAGAATTGTAACGATTGGCTCAATAAATTTTTTTAAATCGACTCAGTCCTATTACTTTCCGGACAAACCCCGTATATATCACTTGCTAAGGTTTCTTGCAGCCTACGGAAATTTTCAGAAAATTGGCCGATAAACGCTCTGGAATATTCGATGGGAATTCTGCAAAATTCTCCTTCTCCAATCCTTTTCAGTTTTCTTTTATCGCACACCTGACACTAAATGTCACGTATTTAAACACCTTCTCGCACTATTATTATTTTTATTTAACTATTTGCTGTCTAATTAACACTTCTACTATGCATTAGTTATTAGTTTACCACTATATGAACGCTTCATCGCTCTTCTCACTTCGCTTTTTATCACCACGTAACTCGGACAAGTACTGACTAGCTAGATCTCGCGACAACTATTTATAGAGGCCACGTTTTAGAATGATCCAATATATGCCGTCTAGAAACATGGTCTTCGCCATATATGTTGGGTTGCCAATACGCAATACATTTAACTATTTTCTTTTGTATTTTATTATAAAGCAGAAATTTCGAATATTTTTCGAATTTTCTGCAGCTTAGCACATTTACTTTTGATTAGTTTAGGACATTCAGTTTTTTAGTTGACCATAATATTTACGACTTAGGGTCATAATGATTTACATCGAAATTTACATTTGTTAGGTTTGGTGTTAGGTTGACGTTAAGCAAGATAATGATAACGCTCTTTATTGGGATATTTGCCTTTACTGGAATTAAATTTGGCACTTTTCATTTATGTTAAGTCAGACGCCTTCATTTTTTTTCGGGTAGCAAAAGTTGAGTCGCATTGATTTTTTTATACATAAATCCAAGGGTCCAGGGTTCAGATCCCTATTCGGGCGGCAATTTAATGAAACAAAGTAATTACTATTCGTTTATTAGTTAACGATAAAAAATGGATATCACTCAATAACTTAAAAAATTAAATAAAACTCGCGCCATTTTGCTAAGACAAAGAACTAAAAAGAATGGCTCCGTAATAAACTCAACCAAGAGTTCCTTCATTTACCCGATTAGGAAAGAGAGCTCGAAGTTCTCATATAAAAACAAATTAACAAATGGAAGAGATTTACTCAACTTACAAAATTCACAAATAGCCTGGGAACATAAAATAGTACCTATCTAAAGTTGATATTTTCTTGAGAACTTCATGATGAGTTTCTTAACATGATAAACGAGGATTTTTAGACAGAGGTACAACGATTCAATAAGAAGTGGTCCTGGAATTTGACGAGTACAGGAAAACCAGTGAAAGTAACCAAGGCCAAAACGAAACTTTTCAAGGATATCTCCAAAAGTCATCCTAATCTAAAAAACCTAAGAAGTTTAATAATACAAAATATCAGTTAATTAATCAAACCTTAAAATTTTAAAAGGAGCTCATAGGGAATAAACCATAATGAAAAAGTATCAGAATTAGAGAGAGAGTATTTACTGACAAAGTTACTATATTAAAAAGGAAAAGGCAACTCAATAATCCTTATCTCATGAATCTTAACTCAGTGGTTCCCTGTTACCCATAACAAAATAAGGACCCTCACGCACACTCAAGTCCGTCTTATTTCGATGAAGGCTAGGTACGAGAAGAAGACCCCTACGTCTTGTTTAGGCAATGATCAGGAAGAAAATAATGTACTGATTCGACGAAGGCTAGAAGAAATAGCTCTTTGAATACTGATACTATGAAATGCATGAGACAAACAAGCAACAGACCACAAACAAGCATTATGAAGTAACAGAATTTTCCATAAGGAAGAAAAAATGTAGCAATCCCCTGTTACCCGAACAAAAATGAAGGCGTAAGACTTCGTTCAATCTAGCATAATGAAAAGTCGTAAATCTAATTGCACTAAAAACCAAACCCCTAGAGAATCGAAAATAATGTTATTGGATTGACGTTAAGCCCATCTATGCTTTTGTTCGGGGTGAACCAGAGGAATCGCTCTTAGTAATTATTTCGCATTATAAAATAATGAAGTTAGGAATTTAGAAACTTTCAGAAAAACAGCTTACATTCACAATACTACGGTGTAGGAATAATGGAAAATACTTTGATAAGAAACATAAACTGCCGTAGTCATATAAAGTAGAAAACCCTGTTATTGTAAGAAATTTTGACAGACCTAAATCAATAAAGAGGTCATACCGAAATATAGAGGTCCTTACCTGATAAATAGAGTGTTAGGGAACGTTCGTAATTTAATTTCCGATACCATTTGACCTTTTGAAGGAGTATACTCACCTGAAGATGAGACTATGGTTAAATGATTTTTAAATTGTTATGTTGATATTACTTACACTATTACTTACATTTAGAACAATTAACTTCCCGTGCGTCAAAAATCATAACTAGAATTGTACAGAGGAATATGGAAAAAAGGGCGGAAGAACTATTAAGGGAAGATCAATTTGGGTTTAGAAGAAATAGAGGAACGCGGAAGGTCATTCATTCAACGATAGGAAAAGGAAAGAGTGCGCACATACGATTTGTTGATTTAGAAAAAGTTTTTGAGAGTGTTAAATGGGACAAGATACTTATGCAAACTTTGATGAGGTTTTGGGTTACAATTCATCATAGCTATTAGGGAGTTATGCAAATTGCGTTTTTGCCTAAAATTTCCTCGCAACAGATCTTTCCACTCTAACCACCTAAACATTCTCGTAGGTAGCCCTCTGTACCAAATCTCTACAGGACCCTTCAGTTTATTTAACGCCAAATAACTAGTAACCATATCAGACCATCCGTACATGTTAGCAAATTCGTCTACAGAATGCAACCAATCACTTAAATTATGTATTAGTGGTTTAAAATCTGAAATAATATTCCGGGAGATATCGATTTGGGGTTCCCCGCGTCTGCTCTGACCGTCGTACCTTTCTATAATCCTTTCGAACCCTGTCACTAGGGTCTGACTCAGTCGGCTTGCAATGGATGGCTCTCGGCTTTCTCGGTATCGTGGGTGGTTATGTTTGCGAGTTGATCTATCTCTACCCCCACGGTGAGATGATTTTGTGCTGCTTCGAGATCTCACCCTAGTCGGGGTCATTTTGAAAATATTTTTTTCTTCTTTCTAAAAGAGAACTTAACGTATCGCACTCAGTATTGGTTTAATTACGTTTGGTAGAAAAGCTCTTTTGTTTACGTTCTAACTAATATAGGTGAAAGTGTAGCTACCGGATAAACAACGACGGTATTTATTCTTTCAGTTGAAGGTATCTGGTTTTTGAAGCCGCTAACAGCTGGTTTGACCATCTCAAAGTTTTGCTGTGTAACTGCTGTGTTTTCTTTTACTATCCGTTTATTGTTTTATCAAGACGAAACCCTCTATTGAAGAACTCTTGGTTACAGAGGAGGAAGTCCCTGTAAGCTGTCGTACTTTTGTTGTTTTCAACTGTTTTAAAAAATAGAGGCACTAACCCATAGTGGTAGATCTCGTCTCCCTTATAATAGGAACAATGTTCCACGCAAAAAAAAAACAAACCATATACAATAAACTGGACGATGCATAGAGAAAAAAGAAAAAATAAACATTCAAACCAACAATTACTCTACGCCTGTGGCCTGTTCAGACAACAGGTTCTTTAATATGTCCTATCAAAGGTACATGTCGCCTGCTTGCTCCGTCCTTTGATTTATAACATATTTGAATTTACTACTTAGTTAAGTTTAATAGTCTGATTGGATTTTGTTGGGGTTCCCCAATCCTCGCAACGAATGTTGGATCAGTTGAGGTTCTCCCAAAAATAAAACAAATAAATAAAGTATTAAACGATTTTCTGTATTTTCTTTGTTAGCACTATGTGGTTATTAAAATGGTCACTTGTTCTAGGCGTTATCGCGCCGTTCTTATAAACAAAATATAGAGAATTTGGACGAGGGTAGACGCATAAATTGTAACATCTGAAGACTGCTTCATAATATTGTAGCCTTAACAGAAAAATTCATTTTACAAAAATAACTTACTTCTTACACAACTATCGACGATCACGATTACTGCCAATTATTATTAAACATATAATTAAGATGGCGCCGGGCGACAAATAGCAATCGGGATTTATATATTATGTGAAAACAATTATCATGTTACTGACTTTAAGAAGTTAAAAGACACAAAATGTTTAAGTGATACCTAAGTAATTTACCCAGAACCAGTAGCGAATGTAGGATTTGCAATTGGGGCGGGGCGGGGGGGCTACAGTAAAAAATTGGAACGATGCCTTTCATTTAATATATACATATACTTTATATATACAAAGGACATTCAAATATGAACGAGCCATTCACTTTTGGGAATTTAGAAAGCCTGTCGGAGGTAAGCGGAGCGTCGAGAAGTATATAGGACAAGGAGATTCCGTCTGATTGTGACCATATAATCTTAAAATAGATAATAAATAAGCAATTTCATTTTTTTTTCTGCTAAAGTCAAGCAAAACAAAAACTTTGTCTCCACTACCACTTTTCGCGTGCTAGTTTTTCGGCCTTTATCGAATGTGAATAATCATCTCTGCTCCTCTAAGGGCTGCATGTTAAAAAGCGACCCCAGGTTGCAGATATATTTGTTTATTGGGTATTAAATACGATCAATTGTAAACATTAAAACCAATCCTTTTTATTAAGCAATAAATTCTTAAAAAATAAATAGCACATAGCAAGTAACAATCAACAAACAACAAATAACAAGCAACAATTAACGATGAACAACACACTAACAATCGAAATGGAAAACGCTGTAAACAAATTCTAACTGCACTGTTAATATGCACGCTGCTTATTAAATCCAAATTGTATTGTGTACTTGTAAATTTAATTGTAAGTAGATTTGAGCTTTTGTTTTCAACTAGGTATTAGCATCTAATGAGAATTTTATTATGATAAATATTATTGCACACCGAAATGTAAATATTGCAAATCACATGTATTAGCTCAGTAATAAAGTTTTATTCTAAAAAAATAACCGAAAGTCCGATAGGGGGCTGGATATACGATATGCGCGTTTTAATTATTCATCGATTAAAAAATGTACATATTTCATCAAGTTCCCAGTAAACTTTCAATTACAACGAAGATTTAAGTGTACACCACTGCATGCATGCGAAAGCCTGGGCAAACCCTGGTGTTTCGAGAATTGATCTGTCTTGTTTCTGAAAAATCTTACATCAACAAGTTTGAACAGGCTATAGTACCTTGAAACCATGTGTTATATCAACCTTGGTACTTGCCCTAAAGTCGTATATTAACGATATTATGTCTGCTCTAATATTAACCCTATGGATACTCATTAACGCCATTCACCATTAAAATATTAGTATATAAGTTCACTTTTATACTATTCTAATTATAAAAAATATAACATGACTCTGTCAATTAGAAGTATTGTCCAATTAGTCAAGTTTTTGTATAATAATTCTTTGCTGAATAAATAGTGTTTTAAAAAAAACTCTTGTGGTGAAATCTTCGTTATGATTGGAGCTGCGAACAGAATTCCAAAGGGGTCTTCGTTGTTAATTTCATCAAGAAAATATAGAAGAATCCTCAACTCTCAGAGTTGCAACGTTTGGAATCCAATATCGAACTTGATAAACCTTCAGTAGGAATTAATCAAGAGGTAGGACGACATCTAGGAAACTGCCCTATTCAACGAGAACTAGGAGAATCCGTGGGTCTCCTATTTTTCGAGAGTATTTAATCAACTAAGTACAATTGTTCATTTTATTACTTGTTATCCTTGCTCTCCTTGACATACAAAATGACTACTTCCCCGGCAACTATTTCCCTAACTAAATTTAAAACCCGTTTTGACTTCTTTGGTTTCATCCCGAATTTTGATGGACGTGAAACTGAATTAGTCCAGTTTATCAAGTCAGCTGATAACATCTGGCAGAATGTTTCTAATTCTAGTCCAAAATATCAAATATCAAAATATTTAGCTATTACTAATAAATTAAAAGGCAATGCTAGTTTGTTGTATTCGGTCAAAAGACCAGAAGATTGGCCCACCTTAAGAAATTTACTTAAGGAACGTTTTGGTTGTATAGAGAACACAAATTTACACTATAATCAGCTTTTAGGTTGTGCTATGTTCACTAATGAACATTATGAAAGTTATTATCTTAGAGTTCATTCTATCCTTAATAAACTAAATGAATCAGTAGAAGTTCAAACTGTAATGGGATTCTTTGAGGAACAAACCAACGAGACTTTTTCTTCAAGCTTTATTATTTACACTTTACACTTACAACTAACTTTTTCATTGTTTCATTGTTGTACTTAGATTAATTGAAGATATAGATTTGGAATTAGAACTGACGATTTTTTGATTGATGACTGTTGACTGGCTTATTACTTATGACTTATTAATTTATGACTGCTTGATTAACTGTTTTTGAATCTTAAATAGCATTTCCTTTCTACGTCACATGTTACAGATCGTTTACAATTCCGAAGGGTAACCAAACACAAACAATATATTATTTACACTGAACGGAAACCGAAATGTTTGGACAAATACAATATTTATTATTCACATGAAATCTTAAATTTAATAACAATAAGAAATGTTGGCAATACTGAAATTAATATGTAAATATACAAACATTTCCTCAACTGTAATTTGTAACATCCATGATAAGAGAGCTGATAATATTTCGTTTCGAANATAGTAATATAGTAATTTTTATACAATATATAATAAAAGTAATTGAACATTACATCTTCCCCATAGGACTTATTGTTTTATTTGGCAATTCTAGCACAGCGCCTTATCGATGAACATTTTGAGGTAGATGTTTCGCTTAATTCTAAATCGATCTCAGTATTCCTACTGCTACTTTTGCACACATTCAGAGTTAGATAATTACAAATATTAGCGCGACTACTGTGCGTGGTTTCCCTACCTGTATTACACTTGAAATACCTATTTGTAATATATTTATAAAACATGTAAAACAAATACAGGACTAGAATCTTTACAAAAGAACCAATTACAAACGCCATATATGAATTCGACAATAGATCTTTGTTAAAAACACTTGTGTTTTCATTTTCTCAGCCAACTCTTCAATAGTTTTAAGCTTATGGCTAGCTATGTTCACGCTTTCCCTATCAAGATTTAGAATTTTTAAAGTTATAACATTTAAACTTGTGGTATCTATAAACTTTTTATTAATTTTTTCACAACAATCGTCTTCCAATATATTAAATGGAGGTATAATTGAATTGAGAGAACTTTCGAAAGCTGTTTGAGAAGAAGTAAGAATAACGTGGCTCGTATACATTTTACAATCAGATTGCAAAGTGATCAAACCCGTACCACCCAAATTGGTAGGTAACGAATTTCTGCAGCTCAATGTAACATCCGTCTTCCTAAGTAGAACAAAAATCCATTTATTGGGAGCGCTTGGAAGACATTAGCAATTCTGTTTCGCAAACAGGCATCATGTGGACTGAATTCAAATCACACATGCAATTTAGGGAGTTTAATGGTTTACATTTATAAATAACATCGAGTAGAGAGTAATGAAATTTGTTTTCAGATATGATTAAAAAGTTGTTAGTAGGGAGGATAAAAATAAGCTGATCAGGAGATTTATGAAGAGAAAGAGAGATAAGTTTATATAAACAAAAGGTTTGATCGGATATTAAGGGAGTACTTATAATGAATATTAATTTATCTCCCGAAAAATAAGCTTTTAATGTAGCTAATGATAATAGTTACATTTTACATTACATTTTTTGTCATAGTATTTTTTATTAGTTTCTTTATAGAGCGCATGCAGTTTTCTTTTGCAAGTTGATGAGCCTTTTGTAGTTTTAAAGTTAGTTCGTTTAAATAGTCGTCATAAGTGAATTTAAAATCTGGTACTTTGGTTAATGATGAAGGCAATTCTGGTTTTGTACCAAAAACTAACTCGTAAAGGGTAAATTTAGTTGTGGAGTTAGTCGTTGTATTATATATGAGAACATGGCGTAGACTATCCACTCGTCCCAGTCGCTTTGATCCTTATTAATACAGTGTTTTAAGTAGTCGGCTAAGGTGGCATGACTACATTCCAACGCCCCGTTAGACTGTGGATGATACGCGGTAGTATGAATTTGTTTAATTTTGAAAAGCCTTGCTACTTCTTTAAATAATTTTGAGGTAAAGTCCGCACCTAAGTCGGTAAGGATTGATTTAGGGATTTCAAATTTACAGATAAAATTTTGAACAAGCTGTTTAGCGATGGTTAGTGTTTTATGATTCGGAATGGCAAATGCTTGGGAGAATTTTGTTAGGTCATCCTGCAAGGTGAGAATGAATTTGTTTCCGGATACTGTGAGTGGTAAAGGAC